TACCGCAGTTGACAAGACAACCTCTGAAGACGAAACCATGACCGCGACGGATCAGACTACAGTTACTTCGACTACCCGCATATTCCCTCCGACGCAGTCAAGGCCCTCACGACCCAGTACTACCACTACCACCACCAAGACCACTTCTGAAGACGAAACCACTACCGCAGTTGACAAGACAACCTCTGAAGACGAAACCATTACCGCGACGGATCAGACCACAGTTACTTCGACCACCCGCATCTTCCCTCCGACGCAGTCTAGGCCCTCAAGACCCAGTACTACTATGACGACTGCTACTGCCACCACTGCTACCACCACCACTCGAAAGACGCCGCCGACGACCGCTCGGACGCAGCCGACGAGACCAACGACCGTTCCTACGCAGCCGACCAGGCCGACTACGACGGGCGGGGTCATGCCGACGAACACGGGCACGACCACGCCGAAGAAGACGCCCCCCACTACCGCAGCCACTCAGCCGTCTAGAGCGACCTCCAAGACCGAGTCCAGCGCTTCGGCGGATAGCACGACAGAAGCTGAGGAGGAACACAAGGGGGCCGTGATCGGAGTGGTCAGCGGTGCCAGCGCCGGTGCCGCTGGTCTAGCTGTGCTGGCCGCCTTGCTCTACAAACGCGGATCGTTTAGTTTCCTGGGCAAGCCCAGCATGCCCACCGTCGACAGCCAAACTCAACTCGACTACGCAGATGACGTCTTCGAACGCGAGCAACTAGCCAACGTTACCCTGGACATGTTTGAATAAAGACCGCGGTCATAAGCTCACAGGACCCGTACGAACGTGCGACTAATACAACGTGCGTGCGGCCAACAAACACAGAACAGCCACCGACCACTGACAACCACCGATAACAACGACCACTGTTTTTATGTCCGACTTTATGTTTGGTTCAACAACTTCAACTCCAATCCACAACAACTTTACGCCATCACACAGCATGGCATGGTGTGCCACGGCCGAGGCGTCGGGGGGGGGGGGGGGG